GCCGTGCATGCAGGGGTGAGCATGGGCGCGGGTGACAGCGTGGGGGTTGTGCCGAGTAATGATGCTCATATGGTGGAGCAACTGCTGCCAAGGCTGCGAGTGGATGGAGAGAGAGTCTTCTCCCTGGTTGATGCTGAAAGCACTGACGGTGCTGCCAGTGCTGGGAGTGCTGCGAGTGCTGGGAGTGGTGGGAGTGGTGCTGTGGCAAGGGCAGCGGCTGCGAGCAGTCGTGACGGGGGGCACATCCCGGCGCGGTGCACGCTACGCCACGCGCTGCTGCACTGCTGTGACATCAAGGGCGTGCCCAAGAAGGGCCTGCTGCGCATCCTAGCCGACTATTGCAGCGACCGCCGCCAGCAGCACCGCCTGCTCTTCCTCTCCTCGCGCGGCGGCAAGGACGCGTATAAAGAGCTCGTCATGGAGCGCCGGCCCAGCCTGCTAGAGCTGCTGCTGGCGTTCCCGTCCTGCCAGCCGGATTTGGCTCATCTGCTGGATGCGCTGCCGCCGCTCGTCGCGCGGTTTTATTCGCTGTCGTCGTCGCCTCTTGCCTCGGACCCACCGGGTACCAGTGTGTCGTTTGCGTTCAGCCTTGTGCACATGCCGCTGAAACCGCTGCTGCCAGACCTCGTGCCGGCTGCTGCTGGTGCTGGTGGTGATAACAGCGATGGTGGTGCTGCTGCTGGTGCTGCTGGGTTGGCAGGGCCACGGGTGTTTAAAGGCGTGTGCACCTCATGGCTCGAACAATCCCTGCCTTTCGCCCCAGAGGACAGGGAACGCGTGGCTAAGAGAAAACAGCAGCAGCAGCAGCAAGTGGGAGCAGCGGACACACCCCGTCTCCCTCCCCCAGTCCCCGCCCTCTCCATATTTCCAAAGCCCGGGGGTAGGTTCTGCCACCCGTCATCACTGTCATCTCCGCTCATCATGATTGGCCCTGGTACCGGTGTGGCGCCCTTCAGAGGCTTCCTGCAGGAGAGGCGCCGGCTGATTGCACAGAACAAGGGCGAGGGCGAGGGGGGTGGTGCGGGGGAGAGCTGGCTGTTCTTCGGGTGCAGGAGAGAGGACGAGGATTTCCTGTACCGGGAGGACTTTGAGGGGTTTGTGGCGGATGGCACGCTGTCACAGCTTGATGTGGCCTTCTCCCGTGCCGGAAAGGAGAAGGTGGGGCGAGGGGGGGAAGAAGGGGGGGTGGGGGGGGGGAGTGGGGTGTGAGGGTGGGTGCATGTGGCTGTGCTGGTCGTGTTGTGTCGTGTTCACGTGCTGGTAGTGACAGGGTGGTGGGAGGGGCAGCAGTTACGGGTGGGTGGGTTGGGGGAAATGGGGAGCATATGTTGTTGTGGTGGAGTGATTGTGCTGTGTGTTTTGGTGCTCATGGCTGTCTCAGCTACCTCATGTGTTTGTGCTTCTCTTGTGTAGAGGGAGGGATGCATGCATACACTTGCAAATGATCCATGTGCCATGTGCATGTGCATGCATGTTGACTCATGTGCCATGTGCATGTGCATGCATGTTGACTGACTGTGTCCCCTCTGCTCTGTGTCATGGCAGGTATACGTGCAGCACAAGATGCAAGCCAGAGCAGCGGAGCTCGCACCGCTGCTGCTCAACCCAGCCACTTATGTCTTCATATGCGGGTGAGCGGGGGAAAGGGCTAGCAGGGAAAAGGTCCTGAAGGGGCTGGAAGGGCTAGCACACAGCACGTGCGTGTTGGTGCCAGAGGATGTGCATGTTGTACCTCAATCTGGTGGTTGGGCCAGAAGGGGTGGTGACTGCACATCTTCCTCTCCTCATGCTCGAGTTACTTACCCTGTCTAAGATCATCCCCCCTTCACCCTCTCTCACAGTCCCTCCCTCTAAATCTCTCTCTCCCACCTTCCTTCCTCTCCTCCTCCTCCCCCCCTCTTCGCCCGTTTCATGGGAGCAGGGACGGAGCAGCGATGGTGAAGGATGTGCATGCGGCGCTGCAGAGCATGCTGCAGGCGCATGGGGGCATGGCGGCACCGTCCGCTGCCGCACACCTGCAGGACATGATGGGTGCGGGGCGGTACGTGCGCGACGTGTGGTCGTGAGCCACGTGTTGATTGACTCGGTGCTGCTGACTCGGTTCTGCTGCTCGTGATTTCGTGATTGAGCCACGAAGGAGAGTGGATTGGATATAGTGGAAGCTGTTACAGGTTGTTTCCCTGTGTATGTCTGTCCGATTTTGTGTGCTGTGATGACGCTGTGATGAGTAACAAGGGGAATTTATCTTCACAGTCACAGTCAGTTTGTACCTCTTCTTTTTAAAGAGTCAATGTCAGTGTGCTGTTTGCCCAGAGATAAAAGAGCTTCCTGACTGGATGCATTCTCCGATGACGAGCAACTAGTGACAATAGATACATCCATTACACATGCCTTATTCGGACACTACGAACTGAGCAGGACACTGCTGCGCAGTAGGGTATTTGAAACCAAGCAGGCCAGGGCAGTCACGCTGAGGAGCAAGCACAGCTGCACGACCTGGGCGGTAACGTGTACTATTGCGGGTCCGGGAGGGTCTTCTCGTGGGCCAGGTACCGCTCGCACAGCAGGCGCAGCTGCGCGGGCGAGTGCTGCATGCGGTTGCGCTTTATGTCCCGCGCCATGGCCTGCCGAGGCAGGGGTCGCAAAAATAGAGGGGGCATACCGTATGGGGATGGTAGGCATGGGTGGAGATATGAGAGGCAGGGGGTGGTAAGGGGTGTGAGGGAGGGAGTGGAGGTTAAGACCATTGATGGCAGCAAAAGGAAGATATGGGTTCCACACGTGTTGCTTGCACCATGCGTCTTGTGCAAACGCAGCTGCAACGATGCTTGTGTGGGCACATGCAAGATTGCAACATAATAAGCAATGCATGCAGGGTGAGCAGGTGAGTTGTTAACAGCAACGTGTGGGCAGGCGCAAGGGCCCAAGGCGCAACAACCGCAGTGCAGTGAGCTCACCTTGTAATCCGCGCCGTGCACAGCTAGCAGTCGCCCCACCACAGTGCGCTGCACGCGCGTGAGCCGTGGCGGAGGGGCGCCCGGGTGCCGCTTCACCACGCCCAGCGTCGCCAGCAGCTCTGGGGGCGGGGAGGAAGGGGGAAAGGGAAAGGGAAAGGGGGAGGAAGGGGTGGAGACGGAAAGTGGGAAAGGGGAAGGCGGAAAGCGGAGATGTTGGAACAGGGATGGTAACCAGAGCAGCGTAACCAGACAACCACTCACCATGCGACAAGTGTCCCTCGCCTTCCCCTCCTGCTCCCCCGTCCGCCGCTTCCGCGCCCCCTCCTTCTGCCGCCAAATCACTCTCCGCGGCGGCCACAGCGTCCGCCTCTCTCTCCTCGCCGTCCGCCGCGCCGCCCTGCTCGAGAAACACGCCACGCGAGCTGGCGTTGGTCTTGGCGCGCGGCTTGATCAAGAAGGGGTCCACTTGGAGGCCCGCGCTGCTGTAGTTCTTGCGCAACGACGCGTCGCGATTCCACTCGATGCTGCGCGCGGGAGCCGATGAGGGCGCGCGGGGAGATTGAGAAAAGGGATGACAGGGGGGAAGCGGGAAGGGAATATGAAATTGCGGTAGGGGGACGGGTGAGAGGGGGGAGGATACACGGAAATTGATTTGCGGATGAAGGGGTGTGCAGGGATCATGCGGTGACTTAGCGATGCGCAAGCGCAAACGGCAGCGGAAAAGGGGGATTGGGAGGCAGGGAGGGGCGCACACTCGGCCGTCGGGCAGCTTCACCGCGGGCGGAGCGGGTTTCTTTATCTTGGGCAGGCGCACGCGCACCGGCGCCTTCCCCCGCTTCAATCTCCGCCGAGAGCCTCCCATGGCGCAAGCTGTGGCGCGCGCGGAAGGCGGGAAAAGGGGATGAGGGCGGAAGGAGCAGGCAGGAAGCGTCGACGAGGACTCGCGGTTGCGCGGTGTGTGTCGACGCAAGGTAGGAGGAGAGTGTGAAAGCGGCGTAGGCGGTGCAGCGTATGGAAGGTGGAGGAATGGTCGCGAGGGTTCTAGCCTATGAGGTCTGGGGGTTGGGTATTTGCGGACTCGGTACCCGTTATTAAACGATCCGTGGAAAAACGCAACTTTCCACGCCGTCTGAAGAGAGGTTTTATGAGTCTGGATTCTACTGCCATCTCTTTGCATCCCAGAGGAAATCAATAAATATATATTAAACGAATGAACAAATGCAGCATGCATCACACACGCATAACCACATACAGTACCTAAAACTGTATGGCCTTCAGGGTTATCGCATCACGTACCCCCTGAACCCCCGAGGAAAGCACACGACGAGGTCTTCCAGACCCAAAAGTACCGTACATCCCAAGAAAAGCATGGTCTGTGTAGTGCACACATGGCACCAAGGTTCCCTAAATCCCAGGTGTGGTGGTAACGAACAGCAGTGAGCGAGACAATCAGTAATGATACAGGCGCTCTCCACCCCGACAGAATTCGAGGTCTGGCCTGACAATATATCCAGACCGAAGCAGCAAGGCACGGTAAGCAACAGGCTCCAGGCTTGGGCCGAGGCTTGGGGTTCCGACGCAGCTCTCTTGCACGTAGCCATTACACAGCAGCAGCTTCGGCGGCGGGGGCAGTGGCAGAGACAAGCAACGACAGTGGCAGCAGCATGGGCAGCATCAGCCGTGCGTTTGTGGCGATGCAGGCGATGCAGTAGGGGCTTATTGGGTAGAGGCAGGAGGAGAGGTTGAAAGGCAGGGTGCGAGAGGCAGGGTTAAAAAAGCAGGCCCGAGAAAGGCAGGGTCAAGGGCAGGGTTAGAGTGGGAGGAGCGTGGTGTCAGTAGGGGTAGGAGTTGATGACGTTGCCTGGAGGATAGTAGTTGCACACCCAGACCTGTGCTGCTCCTGAGGGGCATGTGGCTGTGGCACAACCGACTGATGTGGTGCTTCTCCATACCATCTGCATGAAGGGGAGCGGGAGAGGGAGGAAACGGGGAAAGAGAGGGGTAGAGTGACAGTTAGGGGGAGGAAAAGCTGAAGACGGTCGTATGAGTGTGAGGGAAGGTAACGATTGCATGAGGCGAGAGCGCGTATTAGAGCGATGCATGTTGCTGGGGCAGCTGGAAATCTAGACAAATTATCATGCCCTGTGCAACGGCCAAGAGGTGTCATGACATTACACAGGACCCATACCTGCGTGTAATGGCCACACGCCTTCCAGTCGCCGCCACTGCACCCAGAGTCAGAGCCCCCTGCATCTCCCACAAACACCGCTCTCGTGTACCGGCCCCCCTCCTCCACCCACACCCCCAACCCTGCCCTCGCCCCCACCACCTGCCCCGCTGCTAGCCCTGACAGCGCTGCTAGGTTCTGACCCATACGCAGAGAGGCGGAGGAGGAGGAGGAGGAGGAGGAGGAGGAGGAGGAGGAGGAGGAGGAGGAGGAGGAGGAGGAGGAGGAGGAGGAGGAGGAGGAGGAGGAGGAGGAGGAGGAGGAGGAGGAGGGAGGAGGGGAGGCGAATTGGATGGAGGAGGGGAGGGCAGAGGACTTGCGAGGGCCGGGTTTGGCCTTGGCGTTGAGAGTGTTGGATTTGAGAGAGGAGGTGGAGAGGGAGGGAGAGGGGAGGGAGAACATGCCGTGCACGAGTGTGCCGCACTGGTTGCCGTTGACTGAGGTGTTGGTTACTAGCTGTGTTGCCCATGTTGCTGCTAGCTTCGCCACTGGTAACAAGAACGAGGGAGGAGATAGGGAGGGGAGAAAGAGTGAGAGAGGAAGGGAGATGTGCAGTGGGTTGGAACAATGTGAGATGAGGCGTGATCAGGAGTGGGAGGAGCGTGCTTTGAAAGGAATGTGTGCGCGCAAGGGGTATGTGGAGCGCAGGCAGCATGGGTGAGGGAGCGGGCATGTGTGTGGCTCACATGTGTCGTTCCATTTGACTTCCGGCACCCCCACAGCGTAGCGCACGCCGTTGTGCACGTCCAGGTAGTCTGCGTTCTTCACCACAGTGGACGACACGCACGTGGCCTTGGAGAAGGAGAAGCCCCTGGGGCACACACACGTGGCAGCACCGCTCACCGCCACACATGATGACGCTGACGGGCACTGCACTGCCGCACATGGGTCTGTGGCGGTGGCATGGCAGGGGATGGGATGGGTTGGGAGAGAACAGGATAGGTGAACACAAGTGCGTGTGTATGTGGTAAGTGACCCACAGCTTTTAGCGTGTCACTGTTTATGTGTTTCTACATACAACCGAGGCTGCATGCACGCAGGCAAATGCGGTGAGATGCATGCAGTGAGCCATCTCCAGCTGCGTTCAAGCGCAACAGGCAGCGACGCAACCTACCAGAGCAGGAGAGGCCGTCGGGTCGCAGGCGCCAGTTGGGCGGGCAAGCGCAGTACGCCGCGCCCGTAGTGCTGTTCACCGCACACGTCGCTGGCTGCTTGCACGCCGTATCCGCGCATGGGTCTGCGCGCAGGGGGAGGCGGGGTTGGGTGGGGTGGGGATCGGGGAGAAAAAAGGGCAGGAAGAGGGGAATGAGATGGGGGAGGGGAGAAACAAGAACAAGCAGGCAGAGGGCGAGTAAGGCGAGAAGGGGCAGATGGAGGCATCGGGGTGGGTGGAGTGATTAGCGCATATTCAGGATTCTCAGCATACTTACACATACAGTTTGACACAATTCAAGCAAGGCGAGGGAAGGCAAAGCAAGGAAAGGCAAGGAGGGCGAGGACGTGGAAAGAGAGGGCCGCGAGCGCACCTATGCAGGCGCCGTTGCGCATGAGAAGCCCGTCCCTGCACGCGCACACGGGCCGGTCGTTCACCAGCGAACACGAGGAGTTCGCGGGACACGCCGTCACTTGACACGCGCCTGCTCGGCGCGCAGGGGAGCAGCGGGGGAGAGGGGAGGGGCGCGGTGGGAGGCGGTGTGAGTGAGGGCGGGATGACGGGAAAGGCAAGGAAAGAGCACTGTCATGCAGATTGCAAGATGCAGGGAAGAGAACCATTAAGCTAGTGACACGTGGCACGGCAGGCATGCAGCATGCAACATGCAGCATGCGGGATGCAGGGCGCGCGGAGGGCAAGGCGGACTCACTGACGCACTCCCCGTCGCGCATGGTGAATCCCGCCACGCACGCGCACGTGGGCGCGGTTCCCCCGTCCAGCGCGCACTGCGAGTTGGGCGGACAGCGGTACCCCGTGCACGCGTTGGGGACTGTGGAGGGGGAGGGGGGAGAAAGGGAAGAGGGAGAGGCGGGGGGTGAGGGGGAGGGGGAAGTACAAGGGAGAGAGGCAAGCCGTGAGATCATGACAGCAAGGGACCGAGAGGGACGGGGACGGGGAAGGGGACGGGGGCGGGGACGGGGCCGGGGAGGGGGGAAGAGAGGAGGTGGAGTGGGGGAAACGGGAGGCAAGGATGACGAGAGATGCACTCGCGAGTGGGCGGGATTGCAACGAGTGCTGCGCGTGGTGGGCGGAGCGGGGAGCAACGGAGAGTCGTACCGTAGTTGGCGCACGATATGGAGCGAATGGGTGAGTACACTCCCGTGAAGAACCTGAGGGGAGGACGACAAGGGCGAGGAGCGAGAGCGAGAGTGTGAGGACGACGGGAGGATCAAGGAACGTGCACGTGCCGCGACCGCCAGTTCCATGACACCCACTCTCCCTCGCGCTCGTTCTGCTCTCTGCTCAACCCCATTTCCGCTAAGTCCACCCCCCCACCCGCGCCCTTTTTCCAGAATGAATTCCCTGCTTCTCCTCCCTTTTTCCCCTTTCCCACTCACTCGTACCTCTTCCGCAATCACTCCTTTCCCTATCCCGCATCCCCTCCCCTCAGGGTCCTCCCACCGCCCCACCACCTCCACCCCTGCCCGTCCCCGTTCCTCACTTGACGGGCGTGTCGGGGTAGTCGTATCGCGACGAGGTCGCTTCCCGCCATCCCCCGGGGACGACGAACACGCTCGAGTACCCGCCGCAATTGTCGCTCGTCCACAGGCTCACGCTGCCGCACAGCTTCACCGTCTGCCCGCCAGACGCGGCGGACTTCACGTTCCACGCGATCGCGGCGCTCTCGGTGCGGCCGTTGAACGCGGCGGGCAGCGTGAGGCACTCCCCCGGCGCGGGCGCCTGCACGTTGACGAACTTGCCGTTTAGCGCGGGCTTCGCGAAGAGCGTCACGACCGTGCCGACGAACGCGGACGCCAGGTGCCGCCGCGCAAAGGCCTCTGCGGAAGGGGAGAGGACGTGGGGAGGGGGGAAGGGGGAAATGGAAGAGAGGACGGGGCGGGGGGAGGGGGAGGGGAAGGGGGGGAGGGGGGAAGGGCAATGGGAGGGGATGCGGGGGGGAGGAGGCGGCAAGGGGGGGTGTTGGGGGGGAAGGAGGGAGGTGGGGGGGAAAAGGTGAGCGAGGAGGGACGTAGGGATGCAACGCAGCAGGGGGAAAGAAGAAGGGAGGGGGAGGGGGAGAGGAAGGAGAGGGGGGGCGCGGGTGGAGTGGAAGGGATGGGGGAGAGACGAGGGGAAATGGTGAGGGGGAAGGGGGAGAGGTTGGACGAGAATAATCGACTGCAAGGGTGGAGTAGAGGGGAGGAGGGGAGCGGAGGGGGGAGGTGGGCGGGAACGGAGGGGGTGGTGGTGCAGGGAGTTGTGGGGACCGGCAAAGGGGGGCGGAACGACGGCAGGGTGTGCGGTGTGACAGCACGACAAGAGGAAGGGGGTGCCTCACGCGGAGAATCACGCGGGAGAGAAGGCAAGAGGAAGGCGGAAGGAGATACGTACGATCTCCTAGTAGCCGTCGGATGGCCTCGTTCTCTAGTCTCCGTCTCGATATCACCGGCCGCTCTATGGAAGGGTGTATTTGAAATCTGGCGCTGCAGATAACGACAAGAGCTAATCCCAGGACCAGCCGTAGCAAGGCACTTAAGGAGGTATGTTGAGACGCGGCCATCAATACTCGCCGCCGCTTCTGCATGGTGGTCGTCGTTAGTTGCGCTCGCTGAGCCTATCGGTTATAACTAACGGCTGGGGGCCTCCACCGCTCTGCTGGGATGAGCTTGTGGTTCTACGGACGCGTTCACGACGCGACAATGGTGTTCGGTCGACGGAGTAGAAACTGTACTATCGGTTGGTCTAGACCTAGTTTCTTGCTGGTTGTGCTGTCGCAGTAGATTATTACACGCGACTCCGTGGCCGGGAGAAATTAACCAATCTAGTGACGGAGAGAATTTGACCGCCATGGTCGCCGTCTTTTGCGGAAAAATGCAGCCATAGGAAGCGGAAGACAGAAGATAAAGCTGAGGCCCTAACGAGGGTCAGTGGATGAGTGATCGGGCCAGCGACGCTACTTAATAGTCTCTAGTCCTCGCACCCGCTAAACGGAATAGGGAGACGCCAGAAATACAGGACAGTTGGGAACGTCAACTAAGAGCGATAAGGGAACACTGTGCTGGAGGTAGTCCGGTAAGGAGGAAGCGGGGAAAACGGCCAAGTAGGCCAATTTAGTACGACCAACTAAGGATGACGTGACGTGCGTGTGGGACTGACGGAACGTAAGACTGGGGAACGCCAGCGGAGGAACGTAAGGATAGTACAACAGGAAGGCCCGCGTGTGGACGGTAGGCTTGATTTACTGGACAGGCAGGACGGTCGCACTGGACAGGCAGACCAGTGGGTGGGAGGGAGGGACTGCTATGCTACGGATTTGGATTGGTTGGTTGGGCCAGGGAAGTGGCAGCGGATGAGGGGAGGCGGATGGGAGGGGTGGGTTGGCGGAAGGTGCATGCGGGCGTTTCAGCTGTAAGGACAGATTGTGCGTGCGCCAGTGGGGGACAGCTGGGCGCGGAGAGTGGGAAAGGGGGGGGGACGGAGAGGAAAGGGGGGAAAGAAGCCTACGCTCGTGGCGCGGTTGAGGGGTTGCCGTACGACAAAGAGAATCTTGTCTTGTCGTCAAGTGCTGCTGTGCGTCTCGGCGACTGGATATGGTCGCATACCACTTCACGAAAAATGTTGACGACAGTGACGGCAATGAGAATTTCATCGCCCAAGCTCTAAATAGGCAATAAACGACGACATTGTGTGCACTCCGGAAACCGACAGGACAAACCAGGTGAAAATATTGGACACAAGTGGTGGCAAGACTTTTCGCTGAAAGGAGAACACTAAAATTTTTGTGCTTTGGTTGAGGAATCTTGATCAGTATCGATGGATCGGGTGGGAGTCCTTGAGATGGTATGGCTCGCAGATGAAACATATGCTGAGAGATAGAGACTTGTCGTGGATTTTTACAAAACTGACATCAGATTCTGAGCGACGGGTACACAGCAAGGTAACCCCAGCAATTTCTATTTCTTCCTAAATGATCTGCATCAGCTGCAAGCACGCGCTCCACCTACTTCGTAAGCTGCTCACTGCTGCGAACCACCAGTTTGGAAACTGTTTTCAAGGAAGCTGCTCTATAACGATGATTCACCTGCGACTCGTATTCGAAGGGTTCGAGTAATTTCCAGCATTTACTGATTGATAGTGTGGCACTAGTGATGCACACCAATATGATAACAAACTGGACGTCTATACAGTATACTTTTCTCTCTCTTGATACTAATGCAAAATACGCCTTCCTCTACATCTATGACATCAGGAATCTTAATTTGTTTATTCAATAAAAAAACAAAATCTCCATCTAAGGTGGCAAAATTTGTCCGAATAACATGTTTCCTAGGCTTTTATGATATGGTATGAACCAGTTCTTTTATTACTGCATGGAAAAGTTTTTTTCAGTTTTTCTTTTGAGATGTTGCATTATAGATATTTTTTGTGGTAAATGTAAGTTCCGCTATTTTTGTTCTATGGGGTATTTTATCAAGCAGCTTGATATCAGTAACGCACATCTATTCTGGAAAATATATATCTTGTATCAACGATGCTACCGGGTAAAATATATTGGCGAATATTTCTGTTCCCTAGGCGCGTGTGTCACTCCATTGGTTGCGCAGCACAGGAGGCGTGCATGGTGACATGGATTCCTCCTTTTCATTGGCAGTTGCGCCTGCTCGTTCCACCAAGAGCACCTTTAATTCAGGGTGTGCACGAAGTTGGGTTGGTCCTGGTTTAATTGGATGTAGCTGGGTTAGCTTAGGTTGAATGGTGTGAGTTAGGTCATCCCCACGGTCTCCACTGCTTCCTTTCCACTTGGCGGATCGAGGGAGTTATGCTCCTCTCCCCGCCTTGCCGTGCCAGTGCACGGAAACACATGCCTGTTGTGTGTGCTGCCAGCCATACTGAACTCATTCAGGCTACATTATCCATTGCCCAGCCTAGATCTGGCTGTGTGGGTTGGTCTTCATCCGTTCACAGCCATGTTCCGTACCGCCACGCGCGTTGCCACCAAGGCCACGGCCTCTGCGGCCGCGACCACCGCCGCTGCTTCCGCGTCTGGCGTGGGGCTGAGCACCGCATTTGCGGAGCCCGCACTACAGGTACGAACTCGCGTTAACGCTTTCAAGCTGTTGCACCACGTCTTGATTGTCTTTTCATGGTTTGTTATCATCGCCGAATATACCTTATTTCATTATCCAGGAATGCGTTTCTAGAGATTTTGACGCTCCCGCGTCTCGTCTTCCTTTTCCCAATTCATGTTTCTGCAACGTCGCGAAACTTCCATTGAAGCATTTCTTTTTCCTCCTGCTTCCTCTGCCCTCCCCTCCACCGTGACTGCGCAATCAGAGCGACGCATCCGTTCCGTTCGGCTACAATGGCTCCCTCCGTCCGCTCGACGGCAGCTGGGAGGAAATCCCGAAGCCCGCTTCCCCCACTCTCCCCGCGTTCCCGCAACCCGCGGAATCCGCCAGCGCCTCCGTTTCGGGCTCCGCGCGAGCGGCGAGGCAGCGGGCGAGCGCGCGCGTGATTTCTCTTGCGCCTCCCAGCAGGGAAGAGACGGACGCCGCGTGGGCGGAGGTGGTTTCCACCATGATGGCGCCGCCTCGCGCGTCTCACTCTGCGCTTGCAAGCCCCGTTGCTTCCGGTGGTACCGCGCGCGCAAGTCTTACCGCTAGCATCGCGGGTGCTTCCGCGAGTCGTGCCGGGGAGGAGGAGGGCATGGCGGAGAGCACATGGGAGAGCGATTGGGGGAGCGAGTGGGGGAGTAAGAGCGCGACCGCGTGGGACAGCATGGGCGACGACGCCGCTGCGTCCATGGCGGCGTCGGAGCGCGCGCTGCAGGTGGCTCGCGCGTCGGCTTCTGACGCGGCGTGGCAGCACATTGCGGGCGGAGCGCTTGCTGCGACGCAGGGAGTGACGGCGCGCATGCAGCAGCGCGGGGGAAACCAGGCGCACCAGCAGCAGTACCACCAGCAGTATCAGCAGCAGATTCAGCAGTACCAGCAGAACCCCATCGCTATGCTGCTCGCGCAAGTGGAGGCGGATCGCGAGGCCGTGGCGGTAAGTGGCTTCTCCTTGCGCGCAAGCTCTCATCGTCTCATGGCCCTCATGCGCCATTCTCGCCGCGGCGCCGAGTGCCTGTGCTCGCGCTTGCGCTGTCGCTCCTTAGTCGAGCAGCAATCATCCTTCCTTTCTCCTTCGTAGCCTACTTCACGCGTCTCTTACCCCTCACCTATCCCACCCCCACATATAATCCCTCATTTCTCCGTTCTTCCCGCCCCTCTTCTCCCGTCCCTTCTCCCGCCCTGCTTCACTGTCTTCTTCCCCCCTGGCTGGCGTCCTCCACGCACGCCTTGCCCGTGTGGCACAGACGGTGCGCAGTCTGGCGTCGAGTCCGGGGGTGTTCATGGCGATCGTGAACGACCCCGTCATGCAGGAGTTCATCCGCAGCCGAGGCGGCGTCCACATGCCCGGTGAGCGTGCCTGCATGCCTGATCAAACACGGTTCGCAGGCCACTGTGCTGTTTTTCCATCCCTTTCTCTCCAATTCCTACTTCCCCATGTCCCACCTCCTTTCTCCCCCATGCACCTCCGCTCACCCCTCCTGGAGTTCTCTATTTCTACAATATTGATTTCATGTTCTACCTTCCTGAGTTTGCTTTTTTCTCCTTCCATAAATTCGCATACTCCATGGCGCCTAACCTCCTTCCTTACCCACTCGTCATCCTCCCTCTCCCCTTAAAACCAGGCGTCAACAGCATCACTGAGGTTACAGAGCACCTTGTTCCCGGACAGCAGCACCAGCCTCTGCAGTCTGCAATTGATGCGCGTGGAGGTAACACCGGATCCCTGTGGGAGTACTTGTCGTTCGCGCTGGGTAAGATGCGCTCTGTGGTTGATGCCATCTCAGACCTTCTTGGGACCGCCTTCCTGCCCGCATCGCTCTCATCCTCTTCTGCAGCAGGCAGTGCGGGAGGGGTTGCGGACGCTGGTGCTGCTGGTGGCAGTGCGACAGGTGCATCTGGTGGCAGCAGTGCGTCTGGTCTTGCGGGGCTCATGACAGTGGTGGTGAGCCTGGTGGTGGTGGTGGTGCTTGTGGTCATCAAGAACAGAGCCAACCAGTGATGCACCTCTCCATGCTCCCAGCTCACTCACCTGCTGGTCACCTGCTGATCGCACGCACCGTGTCTCATTTGGGCTTCATGTGGCCATGGAGCTTGCAAGCGAAGCAGTATACAAAAAGGTTACGCATGGATGTACAGGTCGACATCTCTTTTGGTGTGGTGATACTAGTAATGGTAGTGCTTCCGCCCGCCACCATTGCTCTCCAACATTCCATCCTCCACCGTCGCATCCACTCCACTACCTCTTCCACCATTTTCCATCGACACTTTACATTCAACTCGCCTTCCGCTCTCCGCTGTTGCGCCCCCTTCCACCAGCCTTGTCTTCCACTGCCGAGTCACATCCACCATGTACTCCATTCCGCTCAATTGTAATTTTGATTTCCCATCCCTGTTGATATGTACACCTGCAGTGTACCTGTGTGGAGATTGTTCTTTCTTTCAAATGAGATCTTTTATGCTGCTATTATTGTATGGTACTGTAAATGAAGAGTTGTAACAGCTAAAACCTGTCCACTTCCTTGCCTTTTGCGACATAACTTGGGCAGTAACACAGCGAAAGATTGCCAGTCACATCCCTCCAGCAAAATGGGCTGTCCAACCTGGTCCGTACGATCGATATCACGTGCGGTGGGGCGTTGTTTTTCGAAGTGCTGGACGTCACGTCAAAATTACAGGTCCGTGGCGTGATTGGCTCGTTTGACTTGTCATGCCTCCCCATTGTGAACTGTACTGGACGAACGAGATTCTCGCACAACCCGCCTGGACGTGCCCCGATGCACAAAACATCCCGTGCGTCTTTCGCCTACATCGTGAACTCCGTTGATCTTCCGCCGATTGGGGGACACAATCAGCGAAATGTCGTTGACTGGCTCGGGCAGACTCAAACGAATCTGGCTCAAACCAGTTTCGTTGTGTTTCGACACTCTGTAATCGCACGCCCATTTCCCTGAGCAACTCGAATATGCTTTCGCAAAATTCGCTGGAATGTCGCTTGATTGTGACGAACCTCGCCGCCTGGCAAAAGGAAATCCAGTCGCCCTCACACCACGGCTCGAATCGCGCGTTGGGATGCCCCCCAACATTGTAATCAGCCACGTCAAATCATCCTAAACTCAACCCAACCCACCCCTCCATAAATTGCCTCTCTTCCAGCGCACTTTTCCATCAGCCGTACCTTGTGTCTCCTCGGCAAATCAACTGCTACTCCAAGCAGTTCTTGTAGCACTAGCACGAGGGGCACTGAACGGCCCACTCAATTTGGTCCACTCACAGTTTGATGCTTTGCTCGCGGTAGCTTTCCGCTCTTCATCCAGCACATTCAATTGTTTTATTATATTTTACATTGAGACGCGCCATGGCTTCCTGCAGCTCCTACGCGGCCTCCATCTCGTCCCCTTCCGTCCCCACTACAATATCGCACGCTTCCCGAAGCGCGCTCGCGCTACGTAAACCGCATGTCGAAATCTCGTCATCCGTACTGACAGCAAGGCACAACGCGGCGGCCATCACTCGCCATCCGTCTCTTTCCAGCGTGAAACGCGGCGGCCTGCAACTTCTGCCAACTCGCTGCGAGGCGGCGTCTTCCCCGCCGCCGGGAGGGCCGGCGGGAGGCGGTGGCGGAAGCGGCGGAGCGAGCGACAGCCTGAAGCGCGCCGCACGGGAGTTCTTCTCGGCAAATCAAGGGCACCACCGCGACCACCACCAGGGGGTGCACCTCCCAGCCAGCAGCAGCAGCACCACGCCGCACAGCGCGGCCACGCCGTCTGCAGCGCCCATGGACAGCCAAGTCGAAGACGCGGTTTCCAGTGCCTATCGTAAGAAGGTCGTGAAAGAGGGTCGCACTTCTCGGGGGAGCTCCGCTGGTATCACCAGCGGTAGTAGCTACTTGGTGCGGGACGAGGACCTGGCGTGGTCCGCGCTGATTGGGCGGCTGGCGAATGGACAGAGCGCCGGCGGCACAAAGGACGGTGATAACCGGGGCCTGGCAGCAGCGGTGCTGGATGCAGCGGCACTCCTGCCCGAGATTGCAGCTCTGCGTGTGGATGCCTCTGCTGCACCAGCCGACAGGTTGCCTCTCCTCCGCATTGACAGCAGCGCTGGTGCCGCTGGCATGGCGAGTGCTGCTACCACCACCGCCTCCGCTGCTACAGCCACTGCTGGGCCTGCGGTCGTGAAAGCAGCGCTGATCAATGGCAAGTCAAGCAAGTCAAACGCAGTGGCGCCCAACTCCGTCATTGAGCAGTCGTCCCTCTCGAAACTTGAAGCTGCTTCTGCTGGTGACAGCGATGCTGCAGGACGCACTGGTGGGCTGGATGGTAACGACCACAGCAGTGGCAGCAGCAGCAACGGCAGCAGCGTGCGTCGCGGTTCTGCTTCATCCACCTCTGCCCGTCTTTCTGCTGTCGCTGCTCCAACCGTTGATGGTGGCAGCGCTGCTGCTGCGCCTGCTGCTGCTGCTGCGGCAGCTGTGCAGACGAAGCAGCAGCAGGGCGTGGGGGGCGAGCAGCAAGGGTTGGGCATCATTCCGTTCCTCAAGGGCAAGCACATCCTCATCACCGGCGCCACTGGCTTCCTTGCTAAAGGTGCCGCCGCCTGCTCTCAATTCCACCATATATGCACACACACATATGCATTCACACACTTACACACACTAGTGCCATATCGTTTCCACCCTCACTCATCTCCCGCCCCACCTTCCTCCCTCTCCTGCCCTCTCGCAGCGCTGGTGGAGAAGATACTGCGAGAGCAGCCGGACGTGGGGCAGCTGTACCTGCTCATCCAGCCGCGGGGAGACACCACTGCGCACCAGCGCCTCACCTCCCAGGTGCGCCATGGCCCTGCACGCTGCCCCTCCCCACCTGCACATGCCTCGGAGTGCTAGGTGCTCCACTGCACACGCCTAGACGGTCGTTTCTGCCTACTCTTGTGTTAGTGCCGCAACTGACCCGTGTGGCGTGTGTATCCTTGTGGTGGTGTGCAGGTGATCCCATCGGCCATCTTTGCACATCTGAAGCAGCGGCACGGCGAGGGCTACGAGGCGTTCATGAGCAGCAAGCTGACAGCGGTGGACGGCAACATAGGCGAGGAGCACCTGGGGCTCAGTGCTGTTACTTCGGCTGCTCTGGCAGATAAAGTGGATCTCATTATCAACTCCGCCGCCACCACTGACTTTGACGCCCGGTAAGAGCCACACACCATGGCCCGTAACCTGAAATACAGGATTCTCAGGGATTTCCTTGGGCTTTGCTTTCTTTTCTTTTTTTCTCCGCCCCATAGCACATGAGTGTTTGTTTATGATGCATGTGGTGTGCGTGTGTGTGGCAGGTACGACGTGGCGTTGAACATCAACACGCTGGGTCCTCGGCGACTGCTGGCCTTCGCCAAGCAGTGCCACCACCTGCAGCTGCTGCTGCATGTCTCCACGGGTGAGCCAAGTGCTATGCGCAAGCCATGGCCGATTGCACACGTGCTTTCTCGTCCACTGCCCATTCTACTACACTCCCTCTCCTTCTCCCCATCTTTCTCCCCCCCCCCACATCTCCCCTCCATCCTACCTTCATGTCTTCCATCCATCCCCCATACCCTCCGTGGCAGCGTACGTGAATGGCAAGCGCAAGGGGCAGGCAATGGAGCGTCCCTTTGCACCCGGCGACACCATCGCAGCAGAGATGCTCGCACAGGCCGCCCACTCCCCTGCTGCCGCCGCGGCCGCTGCTGCAGCAGCAGGCATCCCCGCTCTCGACGTGGACGGGGAGGTGACGTTTGCGCATAAAGAGCGCGCAGAGGTGGAGGCAGCAGCAGTGGCGAGGGGCGCAAGCAAGGACGAGGTGGTGGCGGCTGTCAATGGGCACATGTCCGCCCTGGGCCGCGCCAGGTGGGTGCTGGTGGGCGGTGCGGTGCACGTGCCTGGGTGGTATAGGCCAGGGTAGCACAGGCCGGGAGAGATTGACTCATGGGAGTGACTCGTGAATTCCACGCTGGTCTTGTTTCGTGACTCTCGTGCTCATTCTATTCTTCCTTGTGCTCTGTGTGCCTGCTCTTTCCCCCTTCAGGGCACAGGTGTTTGGGTGGCAGGACGCGTACGTGCTGTCCAAGGCCATGGGGGAGATGACACTGGGGGATCAGCGTGGAGGAGCACAGGGGGAGGAGGAGGAGGGGGGTGCAGGGGTGGTGCCAGTGGTGGTGGTGCGGCCGAGCATAGTGGAGAGTGCGTTGTGCGAGCCCATGGCAGGGTGGATGGAGGGCATGCGGTGAGTGCATGCACAGCTTGTACGTTGTGTCAACCCTCCCATTCCATGCTCCTGTCTGCGTAGTTTTGTCTCTTTCGGTTTTCCCATTCCCAAACACTTGTCCCGTGCGTGCTTGATGTGTGTGCCCTCCATGGCAGCATGGCGGACCCAATCCTCATGGCATACGGCAAGGGCGCCATGGCCGGTTTTCTCGCCGATGGAGTGGCTGACATTGTGAGTACTCCTCACACACTCATTTACCCACTCACTCGCACGCTGCCTCATCTCTGCTCCTTGCACCTCATGCATACGTCTCTCTTCTGTCCCCCCAGTTGCTAGCACATCTGAATATTGCTGCACGTGTCTGTTTTCCTCTCTGTCTCCTCGCACGCCCACAGATCCCAGTGGACTTTGTCGTGAATGCCATCCTAGCTGTCGCTGCCGGCAATGCCAAGCTGCCCCCACAGGCACCTGATGGCGTCACTGTCAGCAGCACCACCACCATTGCTGCTTCTGCCTCTGGCTACTGCCTGCCTCGTGTGTACCACGTGACAACTTCAGTGGCGAACCCTCTGCATGTGAATACCATTGCTGATGCTGCCACGGACCATTTCGCTGCCAAGCCCATGAAGCAGAAGGATGGCTCGCCCATTTCTGTCGCCCCCGCTAGAGTCTTCAAATTCCCCGTGCTGTTTCTCCTGGACCTCTGGATCCGATACCAACTCCCCATGCTGGTAACAGCTTTCCCCTCTTTTTTGGCTTCTCCCCCCTCGGTCTCCATATCAATTTGCTTCCCACTCAGCTGTTGCAAATTATATTATTCCCTACTTCATGTGTATTTTCTGTTCGTTTTTTTCCTCGCTGGATGTGCAGCTGATGAAGCTCTTTCCGAAAAAGGGGGCATCAACAGCACGTCGGACTATGATTATGATGAAGACGATTGAGTCACTCATGCACTTTGCCAAGATATACTCACCATACACCTTCTACGAAGCACGGTGAGTTTTTCTTTCTGGACTCTTATGACATTCAAAAATCACGGTAGGATGTAACATGGCTCCTTGCATGTGCAGGTTCGACTCCAGCAACACTGAAGAGCTCTTTGCAAAGATGTCATTGGATGAGCAGCAAAAGTTTAACTTCAATGTGCGCAACATCAACTGGCACAACTACATGTGCAATGTCCATATCCCAGGACTGCGCAAGTTCGTGCTGAAGGGGAGAGGTTCTAAGGATTTGTAGATGGTTAGCTCAAGCCATTATTATGTATCATCTGGTTGTCCACAACAAGTGGTGGAAATAGGTGTTAAAGTACATGCTGGTCTCATAATTTAGTTGCATATCCCGTTTCCACAATAATGTGTCAGTTGCATATTCCGTTTCCACAATAATGTGTCAACACACATTAGTATCTATGTGGAAAACGATATGCACATGTAGCTTTCAATTTGTAGACTGCTCCGCTGCCTACGATGTCGGGCCAACCTTGTTCGTGCCCTTTTCATCCGCTGGAGGTCTGCCATCCATCCAGGGTTGATGGGTTTGCTGACGGGGCTGACCGTGAAACAAAATCGTCCGTCCAATCCGATGTTTTCGCCCGTCATTTACGTACTGACATCTTGACGGCGAACAAGGTTTCTGCCAGAACGATTGGCTGACGGCCTGGAGCCCTCACCGCAAAGGACATGTGCGCCAAACTTTTCCTCGGGAACATCACCATCATCCCTAGGGCGCGTCTCCTGCCCCCACCGCAAGCTCTCGCCCCATCTTATCCTAAGCTCCACTCCAGTTCTGGTAACTTCAAGGGACGCTAGCTGGGGCTTCCCTGATTCATCGAGAGTTCCACCTTGGTGGGTGGATATCCCAAGCTATTTTCTGGGAGAAGCTATTTCCTTTGAGAAGTCGCACGATATTCGCGGGACTGGCTCGAATCCGCTATCCTCCTTGGCCTTTCACGAGCACCAGTCCCGTCTCTCACCGCTCCGTGCCTCACGGTCCCGCCGACACGCTAGCCTTGCGAAGGCTCACTAATCTTATTGCTCGCCTCCTCTTCTCGTCGACCGTGTCTGGGAACCTGTGCCTGAGCTTCCGTGCCGAAACGTTATACTATCACACGAAAAAGGAAGTCCCGCCTGAAATTCAGCAACCGCCGACGTACGCAAGTCCCCTAAGGAATTAGGTATTCCTTCCAGCGTGTGCGCGTTACGACGTCCTTATCACGGCTGCCGGTCGTTGTCGAAATGGGTCTCTTTGCGGCGGAATGATAGGACTGTCCACTCGACTTTGGAGAATTCCGCTATCTAAGCTCTGTTCATCTGATCTTCGAGCTGTCAGGAGATTCAAATAATTAGGTAAGATGTTTGCCTGGACCGATTCCTACGGAAACCGGAGAGCCTGGATAACGAGGCCCATTGGCAATGCCACGTGTCCGTCGTGTGTTAGTCGTGTGGCGAGACCTCATTCTAGTGGTTCCGCTGTCGCATCATCATTTTATTCAGTCGTATGGGATACCATGCTTCCGTCGTTGCCGCATCCGGTCGCCATTCTGATCTGAGTGCTCTCCTCCGTTTTCTTTCAATGTTCGGCATTCCGTCTCCTCCATGTGCATTGGCCTAGTCTCGAATCTCACTGCGTCTCCCCTCGCCTTTTTAAATCGCAGGGCTCACAGCAGCAGCTGCGATTCAACAGTGTGCGGGCTGTGCTCCTCAGCTCGCCTCTTCTGGCTGCTTCCGTCGGGTCGGTTGAGGAACGCCCACGAAGGAGGGGAGAGCGACCTGACGGTTACCGGAAATGGAAGCATGCTCGTTGTTAAGGGAGAGAAGGGCGCCTGAATTAGACTTCGACAAAAGGTAAGCCTGCGTATCGATCCTCCTTAGCGCTCTTTCTTCACCTGGGAGTCCAATAGTGGTTGTTAGGGTGTGTTCCCGCATTCCTGCACACGTCCTCGTGTGTGCGTGTTTTCGTCAGGCTGACTCATGGCCTGTCATGCATCCGCAGATACGCCCAATCCTGCTCATCGTTCGGTATCAACCCGCCGCTCGACATCCTCAGCGCTCTCGCGTCAGTAAGTCCCAATCATCCCACCTATATATTGCCTCATCCTGATCTACTCCAACTGGCTACCTCCCCGCCAGCAGTCCTCATTCTTAACCACCCCTTCTCAACCGTTGTTCCTCATTATTCAACTCCTCGCTGTCTCCCGTCCCACCATTCCGCCTACCGCGCAGCCCTCGCACCGCATATCAGAGGACGGGTCGCCGCAGTTGGCGGTGGAGCTTCCCCTCGCGCACCTGTCGGACGCGGTCGCGGTGACACTGGGCGAGTTCCTGGCGACGGCGTGTCCGGAGTTGCATATCGTGGATGTCAGCAGCGCGGACGCGGTGCCTACCGTGAGCGGGCACGGCATTCTGTTCCTGCTGCGCGCCGTGGGCCCGCACCTGCAGCACGCCAACCTCTCCAACATCCCGCTCGGCCGCGAGGCCTTCAGGTGCGCCGCACGAGCCTTAGTCTGCGCGCACGCACGCGCGTTGTTGAAAGCGTTCGCAACCGCAGCACCACGCTTCTCTTTGCTTTGCCAGCTTTGACCCTTGCAGCGTGCAGCCCTTACTGTTACCGCAACCTGTTACTGTTTCTTTCCGCCGTCCTCCCTCCGCAACTCGTCCTGCAGAGATTTGTTTCAGCGCGGGTTGAACGCGCGCAGCCTGTGCTTCTCCTTCTGCCGCGTGCGCAAGCTCGACTTCGTGGGCGCATTCCCGCGCCTGCGCTCCCTGGTGCTGGACCACAACCCCGCCATCACGTGCCTCCCCGACGGCTGCTTCTCCAACGCGCCGTCGCTCACGTCGCTCTCCCTCTGCGCCACGGGCATCTCGAATCTCTGGACCACCGTCGCTGCGCTAGCCAAGCTCCCCCTCTTGCGCCAGCTCCGCTTCCAGCGCTGCATGTGCTGCCGCGGCGACACGTCCGCGTGCGCGGAGCTGGCAGCGGGGCTGGCTGGCGATCCCGCGGAGGCGGACGAGGGCGCGCGGAGGGAGGTGGCAAGAGCCGATGGTGGAGCTGGTAATGCTGATGATGGTGGTGCTGGCGTTGGTGGCGGGGGTGGAGATGTGGTGGAAGTAAGGGCTTGGTTGGGTCAGGAAGAGGTGCAGGAGGGCATGGCGATGGACGAGGTCATGCGCGATTGGGAAGCGGAGGGGCAGACGCCGGGCGATCGAGGCGATGCGCAGGCCTTGGCGTTTGCGGCTGAGCAAGTGGGGGTGGGGTTCGGTGGGCCGGGGGATGCAGAGCTCGGTATGGTTGGCGATGCGGATATGAGGAACGCGGGGGGAGAGGGGGAAGAGAGGGGAGAGGAGGATGAAATGTCTGACGAGGATGTGAGTGAGGAGTGTTCAGAGGAAGAAGAGGAGAGCGACGAGGACGAGGAGGAGAGAGAGCGCAGGGACGGTGAGTTTCGTCACGCGGGCATGCCATGGCAGCATGTTCTGTCTCGTGAACCGAGGGGACTGAGGCAAGGAGGTGGAGTGCAGGAGAACGCAGCAGAAGCAGCAACTGCGGGGAACAATGGCGGTGCAACAGGCGCGCACACTGAGGGTCCTGTCCCCAGAGCAGTTCCTCTGGGCCCCTCACCGCGCATGCGTGGCGGTCGCCTTCAGCAGCACCAACCTCTGTTCCGACCCGTTCGTGCTGCCCGCACTGCTGCTGCTGTGCCGGGTGCAGGGGAAGCACAGGGCACGGGTGTGTTGGCCGCGCATCCGGTGGTGCTAACAGCAGCAGCACGCGGAGCAAGGGAACATACATCAGTTGGGACAGCAGCAGCAGCGGCTGTCAGGGCGGAGACAGTGGCAGGGGCAGCAGGTTTGGTTGGGGCTGGAGGAGATATGGCTGGAGGGCTCAGGGCACGAGAGCTGGACTTGATGAGCTATCTTATGGAGGATGCGCCCAGGCGTCTCCGTGGCAGGGAAACTGGTGCTACTGCTACTGCTCCCAACAATCAGCGCGCAGGTGTTGCTCGTGCTGGTCATGCTGTTGCTGCTAATGGTGCTGGTGCTGCACGCAATGACAACCGCGCGTCGGAAGGCCCGCATGCCGCAGCGCCGAATCTCCTGCAGCACTCGTCGCCCATCTGCCACGTGCCGCACTACCGTGCGTTTGTGCTGTCGTCCCTGCCGCATCTAGACGTTCTAGATAACATGGCCGTGAGGGAGGGCGAGCGTGCGCAGGCGGCGGGCGAGTGCAAGAGCAGCTTTGAGCCGCTGCCGTACGGGCTGGGCAGCATTGGTAATGTCGTGCACCTGCTGAGGCGCAGAGAGATCCGTGCTCCGCTCAGAGCACTCGCCTCTGTCGCTGCCCGCCCACTTCCCACCCAGCAAAGCGTTTCCAAGGAGAATTTGCCCCCTGTTGGTGTCGCCACTGGTACTGCTGTCGCTGGTGCTGCTGTTGCTGCTGCTGCTGCCGCCACACCTGTCCTTGCATCTGATACATCATCAGCTGGCTGCGTGACTGGCAGCACTGGTGGGCCTGCGGGAGACACAGCAACGGAGGAGCCGGTGGGGGGACAGCAACGGCAGCAAGAAACGGTCGCGGGCGTATTGGGCAGTGGGAGGGGGGATGGTGCTGACAGCGAGCGAGTAGGGCAGACTGACATGGAGTATACATCGCATGATGGCGGGGGCGACGAAAATGGTGATGGCGATGATGGTGACGAGGATGACAGTGGTGATGGTTATGATGATGACGCCGGGAAGGGCAAGGCACCTGTGGAAGAGCAGGAGCCAGGTTAGTTGACGACTCTTGAACTGCTCGTTTACTCCTCTTAAACACCCCGTGGATTCCTCCTCAACTGTTTCTTGGGAACCATCCTCCTCACGTGCTTTCCCATTCTCTGCGCCCTGCTCCTCCCCCATGCTCCACCAGAACCCCCCTCAGCGCGGCTGTGGCGTGCTACAGCCGGAGCCAAGGGCGGCAGCGTGGAGGGCTACAGGCGTGCGCTGGGCGCGAACCGCGTGGGCTGTACGAGCTGGCCCGCCAGCCGCGCCATGACCTGCCCTCTGCGCAACGCTGGGCTGGACGCCCCCAGAATGTGAGCTGTGGGATGGGCATGAGTTGAGGGGAGGTGCGGTGGAGGAATGGTGGAAGGAGCACATGAAGGGAGTTGGATTGTGTCTGGAGTGGTGGACCCTGGAAATGTTTTGGCCCTTTCTCTCTCAGTGTTTCCTGATTCTGGATTTCCTCCTTGTTAAATCCATCCCTGTTTCCATCTCTTTGCACGTATGCATCGTTCACCCCCGTTCACCCATCTGTACTACCCATTTCTTGTCCGTCTTCCGTTTCTCAATCATTACCTTCATCATCCGCCCCTCCTATTCGCCCCTACCCCTCTCGTCAACCACTCTTTCCTCCCCACTCTCCCTCCCCTGCACGCCCCGTCTCGCCCCCACCAGGTCGTCGAGCCTGCGGCCGCGGCAGTTTGAGTACCACCCAACGGAGCCGCACCTGATGGTGCTTGGCACGCTGCACGGGGACGTGGTGGTGCTCAACCACGAGTCAGACCGCCTCGTGGGCCACGTGCAGTCCGTTGGTGCACCACACTCCATCCTCGGCCTCTGCTGGCTCAACAAGCACCCCAATAGGGTATGTTGTCTCCTGCACGCGCTGCTGCTCCCGCTGCTCGCCTTGCTGCTGTGGGCTGTGATTTTGGTTCTCCGTGCCTCCGCAATGCGTTGGAAGTGGCCATGATTTCGCTGCAAAGTTCCCACTCATTCTCCTCCCCACCTCCCTCCCTGCCTTTCACCCGCCGACCCCTCCTTCCCTTCCGCCCATTTCCCCCCTCTCCAACTCCTCTTTCCACCTGCCTGTCTTCTCTGATATCCCCGCGTTCGTCCGTGTGTGTGCGGGATGCAGCTGATAGGCGGGTGTGACAACGGGTCGATCCAGCTGTACGACGTAGATCGCATGCGCGCCTGCCTCGTCGCTGCCATCGGCCGTTCCGCTGCCGCCGCAGCCAGCTCCACTGGCGCCAGCAGCAGCGGCACCGCCAGCAGCAATGGCAGCAGCGTCGGTGGCGGCAGTGCGGGTGCGCTGACTGGCAGTGGAGGCCGGACTGCCGCCACAGCAGCAGCAGCAGCTGTGGCAGCAGTAGCACCGGCAGACATGACGACCCCTCCCGCTGTGCTGGCAGCGCCAGCAGCAGGTGTAGTGCGTGCAGGAGGGCCGGTGTCAGGCAGTCCGCTTGGCCTTGGTGGCTCTGCGAGTAGAGGCTCTCCTGTGACTCCTGCGCGGTTGCGGCACCCTGCCATCCACACATATGACGAGTTTGAGCAGCTCACATCCGTGCATGTCAACTGCACTGACGACCTCTTTCTTGCTAGCGGGTATGTGTTGCTGTGCTGCCATGCTGCCACACTTTCGCTCCCCTCTCCCCTCCCAGTGACATTCTAAAACGGTCATAAAATATTGCCTTCGTTCGCATAACTACAATCACAAGCTTTGCTTGCAAGTCCTCCCCTCACTCTCCATCCCCTGCTCCTCTCCACCTTATATCACCCCTCTTTCCCCCCATTTCCTCCCCTCCTCCTTTTCCCTTGTTCTCCCTGTCTCGCTTGTGGGCAGGTACTCGAACCACGTGGGGTTGTACGACGTGCACACGGGGCGGCGCCTGCAGACGCTGCACAACCTGCACGGCGAGCACATCAACGTGCTCAAGTTCGCCCACCACTCGCCGCACGTCTTTGCCACCTCCTCCTTCGACCGCCACGTCAAGCTCTGGGACGCGCGCCAGCGCATCTCCTCGTCGTCCTCCGGGGGCGGGTTTGGGGGGCTGTTTGCGCAGGGCCGGGAGAGCGTGCGGCCGATTTACTCTGTGCGGAGCGACCGTGGCAATGTGATGGTGTGCTTCAGCCCTGATGACCAGTTCCTGCTCTCCTCTGCTGTTGACAATGAGGTGAGCGGTGTGCGTGGACATGGGAGGACGCACACTGGCGGGTCAACACGGCTGGCGTTGATGCCACAGCCTGGAGGAGATAGTGATTTGGGAGGGTTTTGGCAACGAGGGGAGGCCATGATGGCACAACGTGCTTTGCCTTGTGCAATGATGGGCTGTGACCAAAGCCCTTATCTTTTGGCCCTTTCCCTGTCGCCTCCGCCCTTTTGTCTTCCGTTCCCATCATACATTCCTCCACCGTCTCCCTCCCCTCTCCGCCCCCTCTCTCCCCTCTTTCCCCCCATCCGTTACCTCTCCCCGCGTTTGGCTCTATCAGGTGCGGCAGCACGTAGCAGTGGATGGGCGGCTGCAGCAGCGGTTTGAGATAGCAGCACTGGGCAGTGCGCACAACTACACGCGCTCCTACTACATGAACGGGCGCGACTACATTGTGTCGGGCAGCTGTGAGGAGAACGTCGTGCGCATCTGCTGCGCTAAGACCGGCCGCCGCCTCCGCGACATACCCCTCGAGGTGAGGAGAGCTGGGGCAGGGAACGCTGGTGTGCTGTGGGGTTTTAAGGGTGGCGTATGTTGGGGGTGTGCTGGTGATTTGTGTGGGTCTTGTGTGGTATGCTACATGCGCCATCACATGTGTTTGCAGTCTCGTACTTACATTTCAAATTCCCTCCCATCTCTTGTTTATGTCCTCTGCATTGCATGCGTTCCATCACCCCACAGCCTCCCTCCCTTTCTCTCATCGCTATTCCGAACCCTTTTCCCCCCTGTGCCATCGCCCCTGTTGATTGTGCCCGTGTGTCAGGGCAAGGGCGGCAAGAGCTCCCTCTACGTGCAGTCACTGCGAGGAGACCCCTTCAGGGTACTACTCCCCTTCCCTTGCTCCATGACTCCCCACTACCTGTGCTGCCTCTCTTCTACGTTCCCCCCCGTCCCTCTTCTCTCCCCCCCTCCTTTTTTTTTTCAAATCACTATCCTGCTCCAGCACCCCCCACTTACCTTACACTCTCCACATTTTCCAAGATTTGGTTCACTTCGTCTGTCTCTGGTGAATTACTGGTCTCACCTGTCCGCCCCACCTGGTCAATCCTCTGCTAGAACATCTTGAATGATTGCACTTGCGTCCCCCCGTGTTGCGGCATGCAGGACTTCCATCTCTCGGTGCTTGTGGCCTACAGCCAGCCCAACTCCCCCTCGGACATTGTCAAGGTGCGGCCCTGCCCGTGCACCCCTTGCCCTGCTGTCTGCATGCATGCTGTGTGCTCCTTGGTTGGCCAGTGCGCACCTGCTTCGCTCATCCATGGCCTTGTTTTCCAAACCCTTTCCCCTCCCCTCCTGTTTACCGTGTGTGCAGGTGAATCTAGTGGCAGGCCCTCCGCACCGAAAGGGCCTTGACAGTGACTTCCAGACTCAGCCGTTGGCGTCTGTGGGTGCATAGAGAGTGTGTGTGTGGCTGCGCTTGCTGTCGATGGCATGCCTTCATGCCTTGTATGGTGCTCCTACAGCTGTCTCGTTCCCATATGGGATGGTGGGCACAAGTGGCACGTTTTTGGGGTGGGGAGGGCCTGTTGGGGGTGAAGGGGTGGATGTTAGGAAGCTGTGAAATAGAAGCTGCATCTTGGGTGGGTCTTGTTCGAGAGACTTTGCACCTGCTGGCAAGAGGACTCGACTGGATGGATGCATGCATGGTTGGATGGTCCTGAATTTTACCGTATGGAAGGTGTCGTACTGCGGCAGTTCACCCGTTACAAAATTTCGTGCAATATTCATTGAGACTTTCCAATAAGGTAGATGACTACATGTCTGGACTGGTGAGTCATTCAGACAACACATAACCGGTATATAAATAACCCTAGGTTTGCTCATGATTGTCATTGCTTTAACCATGTTGAGGCTGGTTGGCTGGGTGCTTGGTTGCTTGGCTAATTGGCCAATTGGCTGGTTGGCTATTTCGATTGGCTAGTTGGCTGGCTGGCTGGTGGACTTGTTCTGCACCTACTTAATTAAATGCATAGTGCTTGTGGGTGGGTGCCCTGCCCTGCTGTTCCACCTTCCCCTCATGACTGTGCGGTGCGTGCTTCTCATGCCAGCTCCACCTCACTCTCACTCACCGCCATGAACAAGGGCTAGGCCCGTAGCAGCCAAGTCCCCCTCATGCCACAGCATCGGGCATGTCATCATGGCACGGCACAGCACCTGCAGGAGGACTCTGTCCTGCTTAGTGTTTATGCCCAGGCGCCTTCCAAACTCCCACCCCACCATGCAAGCCCATCCCACAACATGCATGCCCATCCCACCACACCACAATGCAACACAGCACACCTAAGCAACAATAAGCACACCTAAGCATGGTAAAGGAGAGCTAAGCATGGCTAGCACAGAAGCGGGACATGTTGAGCTGTTGGTAGTTCACCCCCTTGCGCCACCCCCAATGCCCTTGGCGCTCTTGCCCTACACATCACCACAGAAGAACCACTTGAGAGCTGCCAATGGGACAGGAACAGGGCATGGAAGAAAGGGAGGGGAAGAGAAGGAAGCTGCAAAAGCGCACATCAACAGAAGTGAGGCTGATTAAACGGCAAAGACATTTGTGTATCACATCAGATCACCATGGTGCAGCAAGCACTAAGTGAGAAATACGTAAGCAAGGCCATCAACTTCCCCCTGCAGAATCTCCCATCACACCTACCATGAAGAATTTACAACATTGCTGATTCTGCCACTACTTCCCGGTTAATGTTGCCAGAAAGAGCCACTGGACATGGAGGGCGGAGGGAGGCCAGGGCAGCATCATAAACGGTACAGAAAGAGGGGAGGACGAACAACATGAGACGGATTAAAGGACATCAGAAAGACATCAGAGCCTAGTCAAGAACGCAACTGATGTTGAAACAAAAAACAATCAAGAGAAATGGGAAGCACGGCTCACCCCTCTATTGCTGCAGCTGCAACCACTGTAGTGGCCATTGATGGTGCAACCACCGCTGCCACCACTGCTGCTGGTTCCCCTGCCAACCGCCGCTGACACCCTCTGGTGCTAGATAGAAGGTCCTTCCCTTCTGGTGCTGAAAGGGAGGAGAGCAAGGTAGAAGAGAGGGCAGGAAAGGAGGGGTTTGAGAGCTGAGCAGAGTGGCATGCACACCGGGCAACACAGCAGCAAAGACACATGGGCACCGTGGAAGGATGGGAAACAAGGTAGAAGGGCACAGGAGAAAGCATGACAAGGGCGAATGGAGAAGTGGGAGAATTTCTTCATCTGATCCACTCACCTCTCACTGGTGATCCCTGAGTTGCTGCAGCCACTGCTTCCCTGAGTGCTGGAGGTGAGGGGAAGACGGATGGCAAGGAAGAGCAGGAGAGGCCCGAGCAGGGAGAGGAGAAGCGAGTAGATGAGATCCTGAGGATGAGAACGAGCACTGAAGCGAGTGGTTCCCGTAACAGAGGAGAGGAGGGGATTGAAAACTGAGCAGAGTGGCATGAACATCTGGCAACACAGCATGAAATACACAAGGGAGCCGTGGAAAGATGGACGACAAGATGGAACGGCACAAGGGAAAGCAGGACAAGGTGAATGGAGAAGTGGAATACAGCTCAATTTGATCCACTCACCACTTGTTGACTGCTCGCCATCATCCCGCACTTGCTGCAGCCACTGGTGATCCCTGAGTTGCTGCAGCCACTGGTGATCCCTGAGTTGCTGCAGCCACTGGTGATCCCTGAGTTGCTGCAGCCACTGGTGATCCCTGAGTTGCTGCAGCCACTGGTGATCCCTGAGTTGCTGCAGCCACTGGTGATCCCTGAGTTGCTGCAGCCAGTGCCCCGTTGAGTGCTGCAAGCGAGGGGAGGAAGGATGGCAAGGAGAAGGAGGAGAGGCGTGAGAAAAGAAAGGAGAAGCAAGTGGATGAGAGGTTGAGGATGAAAAACAGAACGCGACACACCAGAGGAGATGGCAGATGGAATCTGGAGGACAGACAGCGACTTGAACATAACGCAGGATGCACGTTTGTCCCGGTTACCTCTTGCACTGGGAAAAAAGAAGCTTGTTGTGAAGACCCAACACTTAGGCAGGCAGCCGTGCGAAGAGCAATCTGCCACACACTCCAGGGCTTGGGGGCTGAGAGGCACATCCACAACACACACACAGAAACACACGAGCACACGCATACGCACGCACGCACCCACTCACTGCCATTCCCGTCCAACTCGCAGGCCGTGAGGCACACACACGCATGGGGTGGGGAGAGAGGCAGCCGCACAGGAACGATAAAACAAGGGATGGAGGGTTAGAAGCAGCAAGAGGCGAGTGGTGGAGAGAAGGTCAACAGGCATGACTCTTGCCTCTGCGCGGCGACGCTCTACGACTCACTACACTCCCCCCCTGCGAGCACCCCTTAGCACGTACCATATTCCAGCTACGCGTTTTCTCCTCCTTGGCAGAACCTGCGGCTCCTTTCTCACGCCTCCGCCCCAAGCAGCACCCGGCTGCGCCCCGTGCTCCAGGCTCCACGCTCCAGGCGTGCTGCTCAGGTTGCTCGTCGTCTGCTGCTGATACCTGCAATAGCAAGGGTGTGTGGCTTGTGAGTAGGGCTGAAACCAACGGGTGGCGCGAATTCAGAAAGCAGTGAAGCACTCTGAATGCAAGCGACGAGCACTTGCCATCACAAAAGGGAAAGCGTTCGGAGGAGAAAATACTTGGCTGAAAAATCAAGGCGTTGTTGTTACTGCTGCTATAAGTGACCAGCGCTGCTGCTGTGTCTCGGTCGGGCAGAGACGATGCCTGCTAGCTTGTCACCCCCCGTCCACTCCGCGCCATTCCCCTCCGCCTCGCAGGCCATGAAGCACACACACACACACACACAAGGGGAGAGGCGCACACGCAGACAGAAGCAGCGCAACAAGGGAGGGTTAGAAGCAGCAAGAGAGGATGCGAGTGGCGGAGGCAAGGTTAGAAGAGACACGACTCTTGCCTCTGCGCGGCGACACCCTACGACTCAATTCACCCCCCCCTGCAAGCATCCCCAGGCATGTACCATGATCCTTCACTTGAGGCGTGCTGCTCCGGGTCGCCACTCGTGCGAGCCAGCAACGGCAGCCCATGCATTCCCCGTCCGTCTCGCAGGCCGTGAGGCACACACATGTACGGGGAGAGAGGCAGCCACACAGAAACGATGCAACAAGGGAGGGAGGGTTAGAAGCCGCAAGAGGCGAGAGCTGGAGGCAAGAAAATCAGACAGGACTCTTGCCTCTGCGCGGCGACACCTTATGACTCATTTCACTTCCCCCTTGCAAGCACACCCTGGCACGTACCACGCTCGGTCAGCAGCTCTGCTGCTCCTCGCCATGCCTTCACTTGAAGCGTGCTGCGCGGTTGTTGCAGCGCCACGCCTTCTCCCCAAGCAACGCCCTGGCGCTGCTCGTGCTCCTGGTGGCTCATCGCTTGCTGCTGCTGCTGCTGCAGTCGTTGCTCTCGCTGCCACCACCACCCGCACCGCGAAACGTACTGACGCTCTCTGACGCTCCTGAAACGCACTGACGCCGTACACTGATGCACCACATCCCATCCCATCATACGGCCACTCACGCGCGTGCTTGGAGGCCATGAGGCACGCACTCGCAGACACACGCATGCATGCCGTCACAGAAACAGAGACACGAAGAAATGGTTGGTTAGTTGCAGAATGGGAGTGGCGACTAACGGCAAGAGGAGACATGACTCTTGCCTCTGCGCGGCGACGCCCTACGACTCACTTCACGGCCCCCCTGCAAGCACCCCCTGGCACGTACCACGCTCCGCCTGCCGCTCTGTTGCTTCGGCGCCACGCCTTCACTCCAGGCGTGCTGCTCCTGGTTGCTCGGTTGCTGCTACTGCTGCCGCAGTCGTTGCCCTCGTCGCGACCGCCGCCGTGTTTCTGCCTTTGACGCGCCAATGTTCCGTTGATGCTTCTTCCGCTCGCTCAACGCTTGTCTCTCGTGCAAGCCAGCAACGGAAGCCCCGTCCACTCCGCGCCAGTCCCCGTCCACTCCGCGCCATTCCGCGTCCACTCCGCGCCATTCCGCGTCCACTCCGCGCCATTCCGCGTCCACTCCGCGCCATTCTCCTCCGCCTCGCAGGCCGTGAGGCACACAAAAGAATGGAGAGAGAAAGCACGCACACAAGAAGCGGCGCAAAAGGAAGGGATAGGATCAGCAGGAGAGGAGGCGAGCGGTGAAGGCAAGGGCAAGAGACTCGACTCTGGCCTCTGCGCGGCGACTCACTACACCTCCCCCCTGCAAGCACCCCCTGGCACGTACCATCATGATGATCCGTTTGCCGCTCTCCGCGCCTGCGCTACGCTTTCACTTGAGGCGTGCTGCTCCTGGTTGCTCGGTTGCTGCTGTGCCACGGTTCCGCTTCTCCTCGCTGGGTCGGTCGTCTCTCGTGCGAGCCCATTCTCCGTC